CAAAAAATCCATGCACTGTGTGGTTAGGTGACCGACATATGTTTAAATTAAAGCACAATTGGGCCTGGTTGGTACTTGCATGCGAGACTCCCCGAAAAAACGGGGTGTTGCATTTATTTATTTTTGTTTATCATACACGCACATGGAGAGGATATAAGGCAACGTTCTTGCATTCTGTTTACTGTGATGTCAATCATTTATAGTGGAAAATCGTGTATTTTTTGTATTTTTTTTAATTAATGTTAAGTTTTCAAATTCCTTCTAATTTTCAAGACCAAGTTGTGATGATGTCGGCACGTAGTGGGTTTGAAGCTGTTAACGCACCGTGCAAAGTTGTTCAAAGTGATTGCAAATTTGCGCAAAGTTATTGCACAGTTGGTAGATGTATTTGTATATATGACCTATGTTGTTGGCATATAGAAACGGGCAGTTGTAAACTCGACAAATTTAGTAAAACCCAGTTGAAAACAGCCTATAGATGTTCACAGCAGCTGACTGTAAAATGTTAGAAAACAGCGTGCAAAGTTGGAAAAAACAAAGGAAATGTCGGCGGAGTTGCTGCTATATTTAACCTAAGTCATTATCATGACAGCCCCGCAGTGAAATTTCGAAAACATCCAGTAAATGTATCGAGATAGTCTCATATAAAAGCAGATTATCACAACAGCCAACCGACAAATCGACAACAAACTGCTAACAAAGTTGTGAAACGCGATTGCAAAGTTGATAATTTCATTCGGGATTGTTATCTGTGATATCATATTAACAAGACACATAGTTAAAAGTTCGAAAATGATTGATCTTATAAGTGTGTGTAAAGTGAGTAGAAAACTTTGAATGAAATTCATTTTGGGGTTTTGCTGCCTTGTTTAAAGGGCGGTGGTCGTCGCGCCGCGTACTGTTCGATATGGGACCCATGGCGACGTATACAACGCGTGTAAAATACATTGTTTATTTACATGATATTAGAACACGCGCTGCGTGACGACCACCGCGCTTTAAAACACATTTCTAACAAGGAAGTAATATTCATTCGGTAGATAACGCAATTGGACCTAGATATGGGCGAATGAATGCACGGCTGACAATGCGGAGTGTCCACCGTTTGCCGGACACCATGTGTGCGTCCGCCAACTCGAGTTATTCACTTCAACCCGAAATAAGCCTAGAACTAGGCTCGGGCTCACTCCCCGTCTACCACCAATAAACTAGGAAGAAAAAGATAATAACTAATCCATCGACCTATATTCGTACCCAAGAGACCTCAACGCATAACTAGTATTTATGTGTGCAAAAATTAGAGAAATAAAACTGCCAAATGAGGGCGCTTACAATTATACACCCATTTATATATGCTATGGCGCACACGCTGTATAAATGAATATGCCTGAAAGCAGTTCGCCAAAACGCCACCACAAGTCAAAGAACAACTAATCATTATTTTCGTATCTGATTCGTATTGGCACAATTTTAATGATGTTACAATGGTGAGAGCAATATGCTCAGCCTGTAACCCACGCTCAAATGAGAAATTTATGCTTATATGAAATTACTAGACTTTTTCGGGAAAAATACTCCTATCAAACCAGCGACTTCCATTCATGTTTCGGCTTTATAACAAGAGCCCCCATAGTTCAAGATGAGAAAGGTGTATAACCTCTGACCTTTTATCATGGCGGACTGCGGCGAGGAAGGTACCACGAGGATATGTGAAACAGTCGATTGTCAAAAGCCAGCAAAGTTACAGTGTCCAACTTGTATCAAACTTGGAATTCAAGGGTCTTTCTTTTGCTCACAGGTAATGCGTGAATGATTTAATTACATAATAACAAGAATTCAAAACATTGAACTCCCCGTCCCGCATCCATGCTAGTATATATGAGTAAGAACGCTACACAACAATAACAATATTTGCATTTTCTTCATTTTTACGCGTTTGATTTATCATATTACAAAGATAGAGAAAATTAAATTAAATTATGAAGTCACTGCATTATAAGCATTATAACAGCACAAAAACAGATTTCAAGATTGATAACTTTCTCTGATTTTTAATGCCCAATCTGCACCTATTTTCAAACAACTTAGAATTCTTGATGTCCCTAAATTGTGCACATATTCAATTTGTAATTTTGTATATGATATTATCCATGGTAATCTTCCACACTCTATGCAAACATACAACTTTAAGTACCGGTACATTCAGCACTGTCACAATACCAGATGATTGCACCGATGTGACTTCCAAAAATGAATACAACTATAGGCCAATTTTCAATCTCGTATTTAGGAACTAAATTATGGAACAGTCTGCCCGTCACATTAAGATCACAACTAAAGCATATATTCAAACAAAAACTGAAGGATTTATTATTGGCGAGATACACTACATAACTTTATTTTGTTTCTTTATTATATTCTTCGCTTTTGTAAAAACAGTATTGTCATGATACTGTACTATATGGCTGCATTTTTTCTATTTACTTATTCAGTTTAGCGCCAAATATTGTATATTTATTTATATTTAAAAGAATTTAACAAGATTAGCTTCCTAAAGCTATTTAAAATTGCTTTTACCTGTAAATATATATTTATTTTCTTCCTATTTCAGAATTGTATTTTTCACAAATAATATGGGTAATAAACCATCATATCATATCACTGTACTCAGAGCAGATAAAATAGATAACATACAGTGAAAATAGCATGTTTTGTCTGTTCAAGGCATTTTCTATTGATTTTTATGACAAGGATACTGTAAAGAGGTTAATTATTCACTGGGTTTTAATTTTGCTTATTTCACTGACTGAAAAATGCGCTAAATTAAAACCCAGTGAATATGTGAAATTTAGCATAGAACACATTATCTAAATGATAAAACCGTGAATTTAATCCACTGAGTATGCCTGAAATGATATATCAGCGAAATTTAAACTCAGTGAAAATTGGTCATTTTACAGTATATTACAATATCTCAAAATTTTGCTCGATGACACATAGTGATATAAAGTGATATACAGTATTTTAAAAATGATAATATTTTTAGTGGGTTTTAAACAAGGAAATGTGTTTTCATTGTGGTCTATGGAAACTGCTGCTAAAATGGCATTTTAAAAAAAAATATAAATTTTTAATTTGATAATAATGAACTAAAAAGTGGTAAATAAATTACACTTATGAACCATTTCTTTTTGAATAGGAATATATACCATAGCATTCGTCTTGCTATTCTGGATTATAAAGTAATTTTAACAAAACTGTGTTTATTATTTGATCAACTAGTCCCGTTCTGCTATGTGACTCTGAAATATATACATATGAAATTTGCAATCACTTTTATCACTTTGCATGGGTCAGTATAATGACTCAAATAATATGGGTAAAGGGAGAATTAGGTAGAGGTCATTTAAATGAACTACCAAACATTATCAAAATGTGTGTTAAAGCCAGCAAAATAAATTCAAATTGGATTAAAAAGGTTGGAACAAATCTGTAACACAATTACATCCACTGTATAAATAATGTAATTTAAATAGCTTTAATTTCACAAGAAATAAATTGTATTATTCAGCGAAAATCGCTTATTGAGGTTTTAAAAGACAAAACATTGAGTCAGGGAGAAAACAATTGAATGACGACAATAAATATAAAAACAAAGAAAGTAGGCTCATACATACCGATTATCAATTAGGTGAAATTGTTTTGTTGAAAAATAAAAGTTAAAAAAATTACCTGCCAGTGTAATATTAGTTTAACATGTTTACTGGGAAGAGAAATTTGTATCCTATGTCAAAACTTACTGTATGACTGTAATACCTTGATTCATACAAAAATTTAATGCGTGATGTACCCTATTGCTTCAACTCGATGTATCTATATTTTTTTTAAATGCTTTTTTAGTTTTTTTTATCAAAATTTATATTTTTGACGACTTTCCTGAATGTACATTTTCATTTTCTTCAATATCCCTGAAAATTAACCCTAATTTTGGAGCCAACAGACACAATTTGAGTCAATTTACAGTTAACTAAAAAAATGGGGTTATTTTTGTTCCAATCTTCTGAACGAAAGTGCATACTGTAAAAGGGATTATTTTGTGAATTTGTGATCTGAAAAATTAGTGGTGCAAAGATTAAAGATTGCATAATATGCCCTATTGCTTCAACTCAATGTATCCTAAAATTGATATTTCTTGAGACTTGAATTAAGACTTCTCTAAATGTACATTTTCAGAAATGTATTTAGCAGGCACATATTATGGGCTTATTCTGGACAACAGCAAACAAAAAAGTAAACAATCATTTCCCATATTTATCATTGTTATTCATCTTGTGAATTGTAATTATTTTACGACGTGTATACTGACAGTGAGAACATCATGACAATACCCCACTACCTGAAAGTGAATGTTGTACAATTTGGATTATGTATGTGACATCTAAATTAAACACCTGAATAATTAATTTGAAACATTTTGGATAACATTACATTTACTACAGGGCGACACCCGCCAATACTGTATCTACATTTTGCATAAATTGGCCGTGATTGAAGGAAAGACACAATGACTTGTGGGTAATGAGAATTACAAAAGTCAATAACAATTTCTTCTGCTGAATTGAATGCAAACCTAGGGTATTCCGGGTTGATTAAAAATTTAATAAATTTCACTAAAAATATTCGTGGCTTTCTGAAATTCAGTGTATATTAATTATAATAATTAAATTAATTAATTAATTGATTTTTTTTCCCTATTCAGGAATGTTTCAAAGCGAATTGGAATGAACATAAGAAGATACATAAAAAGGAGAAAGAAAGACAGAAAGAAGGAGAAATTAATAAAAGATACAATCCATGGCCTGGTTATGTTTTTACCGGAAAGTTGAGACCTTTCCCCACAGTAAGTGTCCATTTGTGGTGGTAAATTGTGTTACTATGCTGTATGATGGGACAAAATAAATGTGCATGTTTAAAGTTATTTGATTTACTGTAAAATACTTTATTTTTTAGCTGGAATTAATTTTTGCTGAAATAACATGTTGGCTGTTCTGCATGGAGTTTATTTTTACTTAGTTTTGATTGGTTGAATCTAAAATATAGAAAAAAGGATTATATTTTCACTTATACATTCTTTTAGCGAAAATAACGAAAAATAATTCCAAGTAATAATAAAGTAGTTCACATTTTGGAGCCAACAGACAAATTTTTTTGTCAATTTTCTGTTTTGACTAAAAAATTTGGTTATTTTCGCCCCAATTTTCTGAAGGAAAGTGCAGACTATAAGAACTATTTTGTGAATTTGTGATGAAAAGTGGGAACTAGTGGTGAAAATGTTAAAGGTGTTGATGAGAGCGCCCTCTACTCCCAAGCCCCAAATAAAAATACCTCCCAGAATAAACATACCCCCTGAAAATTTCAAAAACTGTTCACATGGTGTACATTTGAGGATAGTGTTATAGCGCCCTCAAACGGAATAATTATCAGTCACTTTGTTTATTGGTCCCGGGTGCAAATCTTTCAAATCAGTTCAGCCAGCCAGGCATACTATTCGTCATAATGATTACTGTATTTTGCCATTCTGACAACCATTCATGCGATACTTGAATGTGTTTTTGTCGTGGTAATTTTTACAAAAAATACTCAGTATATTTAATGTAATATGCATTCATTTTTTTTATTTTTTTGGTAGCAAAAAGTATATTTAAAAAAAAAGTTTTGAATAAAAACAAACTCGAAAGCATTGCTTAGTAGCAAATGATCACAGTATGGTAGCACAATCGGTCATGCTACATGTACGTTTCACAAGTGAATAACTTGCTTGTTTTCGAAGTGTTGCAATTGTTCATTATTACTCAGTAGTGATTATAATAAACTACAACAAATAAATTCGTTGAATTGTTATGAAATGCAATTAAAATTCAACTTAGTTTCACCGTAAGCAAATAATTATAGTCACATGTGAACACTTGATCCGATATGATATCCGCCATGTTTTTCTATGCACACGAGGCGTGTTTATTGACCTGATAGGTCAAGTTGCTAATTAACCAATCAAAATGCTGGATTTTGCCAATGTGTTCGAATTACCATAGTCATTTAAATATGTTAATGTGAATGCAATATGGTAAAGATTTTAAATTGCCAATGTTGTAGTGCAAACTTTTGGCATTGATTTAAGCTGTCACTAATGCATAATTTTATGCATATCACGGCATGTCACGGAAAAAGCTATTGATAAAATCAAGCTATTGATATAGCTATCTTCAAAAACGTCTTAGTATACAAAATGTATAGCAGTGTTTGAAATTTGTCAAAATAGTTTACCAGACAACAGGGCAGGTAACTTGCCTGCCCTACTAATACTTTATCAGCCCTGTTTATGTTTTCAATATTTTATTTACTTTCAATCGCTCCACTATATTTCATTCACGTAAGAAAAATCTGATTCATATTCAACTGGAACTCTCGCATATTGTGAGAGTTCAAAGTATGCATAGTGTGAGAGTTTGCTAAATCACTCATAATTCATGGATTTTGTCACGTCAGACTTCTAGGTACATAATTTTGACAACAATAAATATTTTGTGATTGTTGTAAAAAGTAATATTTTATTTATTTTCTCTAAAAATCTACCCAACCACAGGGCTAGTAATTTTTTACCAGCCCGACTGAATATTTATCCATACCGGGCATATGGACGGGCAGTAAGTTCAAACACTGTATATAAATATGTTATCAGTAATTTGTTAACATGTTTCTTGTGAGATCTTCACCGGATATCGCCAAGATTTCACCCAGCCACCTGTGTGCTCGTCATTTGCGACAGGTACACGATTTCATTTGACATGCAAAATTTCTACAAACCTGTTCAATTTTTTATTGAAAATTGTATTTTCTGGCTATAACCCTGCTTGTCACTATTTGTGATTATAAAGATTGCATACCCTCAGCTTATATGTTCTCGATGCATGAATTTCTAATGACAAGTCTGAAATAGTAGTAGTAGTCAAGTCAAACTATACAAAATTGAGAATGACATTATCGCTTGTATTCTCTTAGACACCAAAGCGAGATGTGCCGTACCATATACCAAGACCAGACTACGCAGATAACCTTGAAGGTAATCGTATTTTGTTGATATTATAACAAATATTTATTATAATAATACCACGCACTGTTTGTTACAGTAACGCTACATTCTCATTACTTGATTGATGAAGTAGACAGACAATAACAGGGCAGTGCTTGAGGTCAAGGCAAGAGCATACTTATAAGATTCTGTGTGCCCGACTCATCAGTATTTATTGTTTTCCCGTATTTGTATGAATAGTTTAAACAACAACCCCACAATTATTTGTTCAGGTTAGGAAATCATGGTCATTTTCGTCTAGAAATTCACCTATGTACTGAGATCGCATGTCAATTGCTTGCAAACACCTATGCGTGACTGAAATATGTGCATCCATGATGAGCTAACGGCACTGTCTTAATTTCTTCTCAAACTACCACACACACATACTTCAATTTCTTGATAGTCTATGGTATTATAATTGAAATAAAAGGTCGCACACTGGGCCCGGAAAAGGTTGTTCCCACACATCATTGCACACATCCCAAATCTTATAACTGCTGATTAATCAAATGTCATTTTATTCAAATTTGTTGATACTCTGCTTAATGAATCAAAAGATGTTGATTATAAACTAATACTTGGAGACTTTGGGGCCAAGCTATCTGTATTTGATGGGGAAACTAATCTGTAAGATTATACAGTACTGTACTAATTTTGTCTAAATTTTAAAGAAAACTACTTAAAAACAAGCTAACCAGAATGACTTGTGGGTCTACAACTGTCAAGTTCTTTTCTTTGCTTTCTTTTTATTCAGGATATCCTGCAAGTGAAATGGAGATGAGAGGTAACTCACAAATCAAGCAGCTAAAGAAAGACGAAATTGAAAGTCTAAGAACTGCATGCAGGGTAAGATTATACAAATTCTACACTACAGTTAGAAATAGAACTGATTTTGTCTCCTAAATAGTTTGAATGCCAATGTCAAATTTTATCACTTTTCGTGATCTGATTCAAGAGATGGCAGGATGGTGGCCACTTTAGTGCTAAAAATGCATCAAAATCAAGCAATCACTTATCTGTATTTTGAGTGTCATTCAAAATTTGCACATACTGGGTACCTGGAACATCATAGGTCCTTAATGCACATTACAGATTGGGTTCTAGCAACCATTTGTTTGACTTTCTGACCACCATTTTTTCCCACCAGTTTTTAGAGTAAGATTTTGCTGTTTTCTGTATTTTTCTATAATTTTTTTTTTAAATTTTGGAACAATAATCATAATCTCCTATTGGCTACCGGTCTTCGTGCATTATACATCATGTTACATTTGGACATGCAATAATGAATTTAAAGCGCGGCAGTCGTCGTACAGCGTCCTGTTCGATATGGGACTCATAGCGACGTATACAACGGGTGTAAAATACATTGTTTATTTACATGAAACTCCAACATGCACTGCGCGACGAACACCACACTTTAACCTGTTCTTCATTATGGTACCGATACCAGATCTTCAATTGTGAATGGATTTCATTAATTTATACCTGGAACTTCATATTTAAATGATTCTGATTCTCTTGAGCCACATCTGTCTTGTCTGCACTTTGAGCAGGTTACAACTTTACACATTTGTAATATATCACATATGGACGTTAATGTCCTTGAGTCTCTGATTTAAGATGACCGACTTGTTTTCATTGTATAAAAAATGTCTAGGAAGCTTTATGACTATGTTAGAGCTGGATATGTTTTAATATACTTTGTTTAAATTTAATTTAACTAGAATATTTGCCTTATTTGCCTAATGTCTAGAATGATTTAGTTGATTGCGTGATATTCACTCCTACTTGTATGTAATCTTACAAAACACAGCAATTCGTAATTCTTGTTATTGTATTCCTGTGATTCCTGTGATTGTATGTTTTGCTATGTTATTTAACCATTTTAATTCCTCTTGATGAGTTTTTAAGCATTTTTTAAATAAATTAAAATTGTAGAATACTAAATTTCCATTTGTTTCATATTCTCAGTTGGGACGCGAGGTACTGGATATTGGAGCTAAGGCTATAGCTGTTGGCGTGACAACCGATGAGATAGATAGAATCGTGCATGAAGCTTGCATTGAAAGAAACTGTTATCCCTCTCCACTAAATTACTACAACTTTCCAAAGTCGTGTTGTACGTAAGTAACAACCGTATAATTACATTTTAATCTCTATAAATGGGATTATTAAAATAAATTTTCAAAACTTGTGAAAATGTAAATGTTTTGAAATGCAGTGATATTTTCAAAGTTCACAGACAATGCAACAACCTCGGGCCAAGCTTAAATTGAAGGCAAGGATTACGGATAAGCTAGAATAACACAACAAACATTACTACATATATGGGGCATTGCTAATCTGTTGCTTAATTGTCAAATCTACTGCAGAAGTGTATATGGGTGTCTGTACAGTGTGTGGATTATTTTACCAATCTTTCTATAAGTCATAACCTTTTTTTTCACTATTCATAAATTTTAAACCCAAATACTTTTTTCAAAATTTTCAACAAAAAAAACAGAAAAAAAGTTGCATCAAAGTTTTGCTGAGAAAAGTTCAAAGGCGCTTAACGGATTAAGATGCACAATCCATCGAGATATCATTCAGAGTAAAAGAATCAAGATTTTTACCCGTTAAATAGTATCCTATGTAATCCCCTGTCATCACGCCCACTTTACAGATACCATGGCGATATAGATCAATGTAATATTAGATATGTGATGACGAGAGAAAATATAACTCAATGTGAGAGGAAACAATAATTTACGTGGTTCTATTTACTCTAAATCAGATCTTGGCAGTCTTTGCATTTATTGTCTACTGATGGAAAATTAGTTGTAAATAATGTTGTATAATGTAATTTTGTAGGTCTGTTAATGAAGTCATCTGTCATGGAATTCCAGATAAAAGACCATTGCAAGATGGTGATATAGTAAATAGTAAGTTGTACTTATGTCTCTGAAGAGGAATATATTGAAAAGCTATGTTTAGTGGGATTATATATCTTTTGTGTTTTCAGTGATTTCTCTAGCATCTGAGATTGACATTTCAGTCCTTGAAATCAAGAAACATGGAGTTTGTCATCCAAAACCATGACCAGGGACTCTTTCAATGCTGTGTAATTTTCAGTACTGTACATTAGTCGTATAACATTATTACTTGAATTCGATAAAGTGCGCAAGAAGCCAGTATCTAGATTGTATCAACCACACTATCATAATTTTGAAGTCTAAATAAATTTATTTCATTAACAGAAATCATACATTAAAACTAACTACAATACAGTTTTATGATTGTCCACAGTAGCCTCCTTTAAAATGTGTTTAGTAAGACCCAATATTATATTGTGTCTTGTCTACCAGTTTCACGGCAAAATTGACACCTAATACTTGATGTCCCTTAAAAGGAAGCAGAGGCCTGGCTTTTGCTGCTTTGTACATGAAATTTGAGATCTATGAATGAATTCTTGCGATAAAAATAACGTGTATGTGATGCGGAATGCCCTGAATATCGGGTTGTAAAGTAGATGTCAAACGGCCCCTTTGCATGGCATTATTTTGCCTCTAGGGAGCATTGGTTAATGACTTCAGTAATGAACATGATGTCTCAGCCGTATCGTTTTTGTATACACTTACCTATTCTATTCCATAAACGTTGAATTGTTGTATAAAATTCAAATATTTTTTTGTGTTTAGTCCCCGTCGGATGTAGTCCGAAACAGGACTTATATTTTGGGTTCCTTCTGTCCGTCCATGCATTTGTCATGATTTCCCAGAGACGCCTAGACAGATTTTCTTCACAGCTGGTACAAAGATAAGTCATGATGGGAGACATTTTTATTTGGTTGACCTTTGACCGACTGGCTGCCTATTTTGTTCCAAAAAACACCAAAAATCAACATTTGGACATGTCATTATCAGTTTCTGGGGCATGCATTGACCAATTTCATTCAAACTTAGTCTTTATACCTGTTTCATGCACATTTGTAGTAAAAAGATTAAATACTATCCCAATATTTAAACATAATCTGAGTATGCTTTTCATTGCTTGACAAAGTCACTAAAAACATGACGGGGACTATGTCATTGACAATGAATTGAAACTATCTACATAATTATATGCACGCAATCTGACCTTTGACCTGGATTTGACTGTGATGGTAAAGTACATCAGTGTAATTTTGGGGTTTTCTTTCCTGATTGTTGACTCTTCACGATGTGATTTGTATAATTATTGTTCCACAAGGAGAGCTCCATGCATGGACTGAGTGAATGAAAATATTATTAATATTATTACATTATGTGTTACATTACATGTATGTATTACATTTTGTGTATTTCTTAATTTTGCATATGTAATTTATTATTTGATAATAATTTTGATTGTTTGAAATGCATATTGACTGTGTCTCAGTAATAATTTGTTTTGAATGTCAATTGTTGATGGTCTTCCCAAGTTAGGATGGTGTCGGTGCCGACGTTAGTCATACAACACAATCAGCCGAGACAGGACATTGACCTGATTCATGGGAATCAAGTTCAGTAATTTGAACAAATAATTCAACAAATACTATTTATTATACATGTATATATATTTTTATTTTTCATCGCCGAACTAAAAAAAAAAATACAGTTGTCCCGGTGAAACAGTCAATTTCAACTATTCATTTCTTACATTTAAATGAAAAAAAATAGAAATTTGACGACCACCAGGTAATATATTAATAACCATTCTTACCAATCACTAGCTTTATTTTATTCAAACCTGTTTTCCGACAGTTGTTGGCAACTTCAGTGCTAAAAAAGATTGAAAATCCTCTCGCAAAATCCTGCAGTTGATACAAACAAATGTGGTTCTGTGACCCAGGTCGTGCTTTGATCAGGTGACTTTCAGCCAATCTATGATGTTGTAACAAAGAGTATTTGATGCAAATAAAAAGGTTCTCACATCATCCAATCACTGGTGTCAAATCACATAGTTTTTAGCTCCGCTGTCGACTTTGTTGAGCGGAGCTTATCATATGAGTGATTGTCCGTCGTCATCGTCTGTCGTCCGTGTCAATGTTTTACTTTTCGACTTCTTCTTGAAAACTACAAGCCTGAATGCTTTGATACTTAGTGTATATGTACCTTGAGTAGACCTCTCTCAGATTTGTTCATTTCATGATGATATCTTCAATTCTCTAATTTTGGTGAATATTTTTGTCATTTTTGGTAAAAAGTGATATTTTCGACTTCTTGTTAAAAACTGCAAGTGCAATTGCTTTGATATTACATATATAGGTACTACATGTGGACCTCTCTCAGATTTGTTCATTTTGTAATGATATCTTTAATTCTCTAATTTTGGTGAATATTTTTGTCATTTTTGGTAAAAAGTGATATTTTCGACTTCTTGTTAAAAACCGCAAGTGCAATTGCTTTGATATTACATATATAGGTACTACATGTGGACCTCTCTCAGATTTGTTCATTTTGTAATGATATCTTTAATTCTCTAATTTTGGTGAATATTTTTGTCATTTTTGGTAAAAAATGATATTTTCGACTTCTTGTTAAAAACCGCAATTGCTTTGATATTACATATATAGGTACTACATGTGGACCTCTCTCAGAATTGTTCATTTTGTAGTGATATCTTTAATTCTCTAATTTTGGTGAATATTTTTATCATTTTTGGTAAAAAGTGATATTTCGACTTCTTGTTAAAACCTCAAGTCCAATAGACCATTTTCCGTTCACTGCGAGAATCCTGCGTTATGCGTGAAATCGAACGTAAAAACAGGACAAACAAAGGTCATAGCGTCGTAGTGGCGTCAAACATCGCGTAGAATTCGACAAACGCGAAAGTATTTTCAGGGGACATTTCCATGCTTAATAATGTGCTGTCCACATTTGATGATAGGCAATTCGATTAAGTAAGGGTATTCGGAAGCAATATTCCTCTGTCGAAGATCGGCCGGTCGATGTGAGCTACGAAATAAAGAAATTCTAGTTGAAAATCAAATCGTTCGATTTTTGCGGCAGACGTTCGACGCGCGTCTTTCATGCATCTCGCGAGATCTCGCAATTGTACGGAAAATCCTCTATTGTTTTGATATTACATATATAGGTACTACATGTGGACCTCTCTCAGATTTGTTCATTTCATGATGATATCTTTAATTCTCTAATTTTGATGAATATTTTTGTAATTTTTGGTAAAAAGTGATATTTTCGACTTCTTGTTGAAAACCGCAAGTCCAATTGCTTTGATATATTATACATATAGGTACTACATGTGGACCTCTCTCAGATTTGTTCATTTTCTAATGGTATCTTCTGTTCTTTAATTGCCATGTGCATTGCTAACAGCGGAGCTATCTCAGCCGACAGGCTGCTTGTTATTTACTATTTATGTTTGTTTATTTAGTGATGTGATATGTAATACACGGTATTTATTTAAAAGTGAATTTTATTTCATAATTATTAGCTTATTATCATAGTGAATTGCATGCCCTGATTTACAATTACATTTTTTTTAAATTTCTATATATACACTTTATCTAGCTATTAATGAGTTCACTGTCTAACATCGTGGGTGTCAATCTTGCAAGAACCTCTCAAACTGTGGCATTTCACTAATGCTATCTTTAGATGAGGCAGATTTGTTGGATTGTTTATCATCATCAGCAGCATTATCATTCACATACCAATGGTCTGTGCCTTGTGGCCTTTCATGTTTCAAGTGTTCGTAACCTTTTGAAAACATAGGTCCCATTCCTGAAACATTGGACCGCTGCAACTGATCTTCCATCATGTCGTACATTGACGGCATATCCATGTCATCGCAGATGGATTCAGTAGCGCGTTGTAACTCTTCTTCCTCTGTTGTCATGCAGGGATTCATTTCTTGCATACTCTCCAACCATTGTTGCACATAGCTGTAGTCGCTATTGTTTTTTGATGTTATATGCAGCTGATCTTCTAGCGGTTTTTTCATTGATGGTTTTTGTAATCTTGACTGCTCCTTGTTGATCTTTGCTATGTTTTGTTGCACAGGGATCGCTGCATCTTGGCAACCGGGGAGAATCAATTTATGAGGCAGTGGAACGTGTTGAGATGTATCGGGTTGATACCCGATTAGTTGTGGCATAGCGGCTGCTAATTTTGTAGACATTGCTTGGTGACCATTGGTTTCTTTAGTTACTCCCAGATATGGGTTGTTAATAACAGCTTGCTGCTATGGAAATGAAAACAATATATCATACATTGAAGAGAAAAATGATAATACTTAATATATATAAACAAAGCACCAAAATAGTGTACAACATCCTTAAAATAATAAACTGTACAAACAAGTTACATCCACAAGGAAATGATGAACAGGGGTATCTTCATGCAAGTATGACAGCAATTAAGGCAATAAAAACAATTACTAAGATAGTGTCATAAGTTACCTGTGAGGGCACTGTCTGTACACGTGGCTCTATAAGTCTCAAGTATGGGTGGACTTCAGGTCTGAAGAATGTTGTCGGTCTCTGGTTTATAACTGCAGAAATGCAAAGAAACAAATATGTAGCTTATAACATTTGTCTGTTGCTTCTAGAGTTGAGCCAAATGTTAACTTGTTTCCAGTCAGACTGAAGTAATCTGATCACAGGGAAGAATTAGTTTTTTTTTAAATTTTCCCCCGCCCTTCTTAACACTTTATATCCTCCACAAAGTTTTTTCCGGTGTTGAATAATTCACCGCTTATAAAAGTATGTGTTACAACTTACCTGGAGATCTGAACTGTTCTGTTTTAATAATCGGATTGCACGTTGCCATGGTATTTGCTGGGCCTCCGTGAAGATTATTATAATTCAGACTTGGCATGTACCTATGTACGGCAGAGTTGCTTGTCGGTATTTGTGGCTGCAAGAAGCTGGTATTGATTGGCAGACTTACGCGTTTTTTCTTTGATGGCCGTGGTTGGTATACCCATCCTACAAAGACAAGACAATATATCAGATGAAACTGCGACAATTCAAGAAGACTATCATGTACAACATTGTAGTCTTGTTTCTATCTGCGTGTCACCAGTGTACTTACCCGGGTGGTCTTTCTTGTGTTGATCTTTTATTTTCTGAGATTCCTCGTAGTACGGTTTCTTTTGTAAATCTGTCATCCTATGCCAAACTTCGCCTAACTTGACGCTTATTTCAGCGTTGTTTGCATTCGGATGTTCTTTGGCTAAGATCGGTCTATATACGCGTGCCCATACCATAAACGCGTTCATAGGTCTTTTGATGTGGGTTGAACAGTTTGAACGAAGAAAATTTGCTAATTTAAAAAAAAAAAAAAAAAAAAAAAACGATGCAAAATAAGTGTTAAGAATCTTTAGTTGTAACAACTCGATATAGATACGGAAAGTTTTTCCATTGGTTTTTAGTGAAGGGGCAATGAAACAAACAGTTACAAACGGCCGTTGTTACCTGACACTGTACTGAAGCCAAACAATTCACTCCGCAATTTGTAAATACGCACATTTTTTTTTGCCTCTGGGTTGTCGAAAGAAAATATTAAGGATAATACTTTCGCACTTTATCGCCGTTCGAAAAACAGGACTATTTGACATTAGGTGAAAAAGCACAAACTATCGAAACGTCCGAAAACTGGCATTTTGAGTGTTACTTACCTTCGTTTCGAGTTGAGTTTTGTCGGGTTGGGCATGATGGTAGCGATGGTGCAATATATGGACCAGATAGCGGTATGGGCACCAAGGTTTGCATACCCGTATTGGTGACCCAAGTATGCTGGGATGTCAAAGTCGGATTCCTGTTTCCGGTGGTCGTCGTGAAAGTCGTCGGGATTTGTGCTGACACCATATTGTTTCGAGTCGTGGAAACTATTACCGGTCTGCGTATTGCAGTCGCCACGCTGGTCGCATTTGATGTTGTTGGGGTACACCTGGTATTTGAGGTTGCCATGATAAATCTCACAGGGGTACCAATTGGTATTGGAGTTGTTGTGGCGTTTCCAGTAACCGTTGTCTTGGCAATAGTGAGATGCGTTGGGTTTGTCGATGACTGGTGAGTTGGTACAATTTTCGCAAATTCATTTGTAGTATGATGCGATTGATCACTGGTCTTCTTTCCCGATTCTTGTAGTATGGCGGCATGTTTAGTCGAAATGCAATCAATGTCTCCTACTCTGATTGTTTGTAGAACACCCGTGGTTTTATCGTCTTTCTCGACTTTCACTGCGACCGTCTTGGAAAGTACATCTGCCGATCCTTTGTTCGTATCAGTTTCCGAATTCCCGCACATCTTTAGGAATTGTTTCGATTGTAGTGTATTCATGAAACAAAAACAAAAAACAAACAAAAAAACAGCCACACGTCTCGTCCTCGCAACAAAGATGACAACAGTGGAACAAACAGTCCGATATCGTTCTCGAACTTCGCAGTGTTCCAATCGTGGAGGGCGCGTCTTCATCAATGACTTGACGTCACCAGACGTCGACGTCACTGTTGTTTCCTTGTTCTCTGTACTTCGCGGAGTTAGCACCGCGGCTCTGTCTTTTATTTGCATATATACAAGTTGACAATATGCGACACAATGCATTTTCAATAAATGTATTACATTTCTTTTATTTTTAGCTGTGGTATGTTATACATGTATAAACAAGGATTTTATTTTTTCTGGAAGAGAAATTACTATGTTTGCTATGAATTATTTGTAAATTTAATAAATAAATAAACGCTGTTCGGGGCGATAAACATGAAAAATAGTAGATAATATTTAGTAATCATTGTCCTAAGTAACTATTCAAAATATATAGACGTTTCGAGCTCTTTATCGATATCGTATCGATGCAGGCTTCATCATGGTAGTTCTCGGGCAGTTATCCCAGTTAACTGACAGAGATTAAGTAATGGCTGGGTTCACATTTGTATTTTATCTTTAGTATGTTTTTGAGATATTCAAGAGGCAAAGGGGAGTTCTTGGCTCCTGCGCCTGATCCCCGGACCTGGTCACGTAATTGCTCCCAGGGACGTGTCAACTGACCTGATATTTTACGTGGGAATCTAGCATTATAGAATATATACAAGTTGTCACCGTTGTTCGGTAAAAATACTTATTTGCAGATAATTGATATAATATTATTATGATGGTGAAAATCTATAAACGTAACACCAGGCTTATAATTTGGAATGTGTATGCCTGTTTGTGACTATAACTGTGCGTCCACTGGCTCTACTGACAGAGGGGTTGTGCTCTATATTATACACACGTTGTATACGTCGCTTTGCGACCGTTTCTGTGAAATTTGATACATTTTTTTTTCATTACAAATTTCACGACATATGAAAGAAAAAAAAAGCATGAGCAAGTCATTGAAGGCGTCATAAATGGCGAACAATTGTCATAAATATGGAGCCTTGGCTAGTAAGTGACAAGAGGTTAGTTTGAATCATGGTCCAACGAAGGCGTTTTTGACAACTGAATGTACTGAACACAGTTCACGGGTTTATACTCGTAACAGACATGTCGTGCATCTTTTCCTAAAACAGTAAAATGATGGTCTGCCATCAAGTGTTAACATTACACTGTAAATCAAAAAAAAAATGTTGTTCGAAACGAAATTACAAAGTAAACCATTGCTACGTGACTATTGATTTATTGAAATATGTACTTTGACCATAGAAACACCTCTGCCACTTACATAAGAGCATAAATATTTCCGGGTTGATGTATATATGGATCTGAGGCCGGGATCTGAGGCGGAGATATTCGCTCATATACGGACTCATATTAGTATACAAAATCAGAAAAATATTACCGATAATTATACCTATCTTGACCAAAAATAAGACCGATACTTATACCTAAAATCAAAAAAACGATGCCATGAATAAATTTCAACTCCCGCAAACAGCGAAAGTGAGCGCTATCGAAAATCATGGCAATATGATTGATTTTCGTTCCAACCTATACGCACCATTTAAGTTGCTCACCCTTTACCCGTATTTTAGTCTGACATGGTAATCGCAAATCTGCATAATTAATAAGGATTGGCGAGAAGTGCACTGTGTGTGACAATCACGTGATCAACCTATAGACCCAGCAATGCGCGCTTTACGTAATCACGTGAACAGCCGCGCGCAGTCGCAAACATATTCTTTATTGTAGACGTACTGTCTGCTCACCAGACAAAGTGGCGCCAGAAACTGACATCGACACATCTAGGAAATCCTCTCAGCTTCGTGTTTGA